CCAAAAGGGTATCTTAGCTGCTGCTTTTAAGGTCTTTGGATAGTTTTTTCTTTTTTTCTTTTGAATAGGAGACTTAGGCTCTGGAGAAGTTAATCCTTCCATTTTTCTCTCCCTATACTTTGCATGCCTTTATTGTGGCTAATAGAGTTGTCATATTTAAAATGGAAGAATCTATAAAATTAACATATTTTTGCCATGACCAAATATTTAACTTAGATGAGCAAGTTTATAAACATGAAACCTTGGAGTTGCTCTCGACTCCCTCTCCTCACCCCTCTATTCATATCCAGCTGGTCACCAAGTTCTATTGATGCTTCCTACTAAATGTCTCCTACATTAATCCTCCTTTCTCTATTCACAGTATCCTACTTGAAGCCCTTATCTCTTACCTGAACTATATCTGAATTACATCGATGGCCTCCTATACTCTCCTGGCCTTCAAGCCATCCCATCCCTACTAAGTCATTCTCACTATATGTATAGATAGTGCCCACCTGCACCAAATCATTCACCATGTGTACAGACTTCCTCAACTCACACACTAGTCATGTGTGGCTCACCACATTTATACCTCTGATCTCAGAATTAGGGCTTCCCTATCATTAAATAGCACCACTATTTACCTAGTCATTCAAGCCAGCATTTAACCTAATTAAGCAGCAAGTCCTGTCAGCTCTACTTTCAAAAATTTATAGTAAATTCTATCAGAGTTTAAAAAGAGTGAAATTGACACTTATGTTCCCAGGTTGATTTAAGAACCAACTGAAAGGTAGACACGGAAGTCACACAAATGATCAAAATATCACCTTTATTAGTAGTAGAGCCAATATTGATAGTTTATTCTCCTACCTGCAAGTGAACAAATTTTAATATTGTGAACCCACAACCAGACAGGCTTCCTACCCAGTCACAGGCCGTGGGTCACCACACAGCCTGTGATGTTTACTGCCCCTGTAAGACTTACAGCATGAGGAAAAGGGCATAATACATACATGCAGCAGGCAGGCAGATCTCCAGCAAGAAGAAGGAGTGAAAAGGTGGAGGAGTCTGGCTTCATCCAGCACTGCCTGACAAGCTCTGGGACGAGCGAGTGATGAGGAAAGTCACGGTGAAGAAGATTCCCTTCCTCCAACATTCCCCAGATTTTTGTTCTCTTATCCCATTCAGCTTAACCATTAACTAGCATGTGGCTGTCCTCCTTGGGAGATAAGGTTAACGATCCACCCTACCCGGGCAGTCCTGGTCACACTGTCGAAAGATTATTCTCCCAAGGGCTCTTCTGGGATGCTCGTGGGCAGTGTTTTATTTTTAACTTTAGTCTAAAACAGGTCAGAATAACACATTAATTAAACTAATTCCAAAGCCTGCATCCAAAGCTAGACATTGTCCAACATAGGTCAACAAAGGTTTGGCGATGAGCTTAAAATAACAACCTAAACATATTCCAATCATAAAAATGCCATGAACATACAAAGTTCCAGATTTGAATATTAACTGCTTTTTTAATGGATTTTCCTGGAAGGAAATTAAAGTTAAAAATTAAACTCCATGCTAATGAGTCCAAAGATTTTAGAGGTCAAAAGAATAGAAGTTCAAACTCATATTCTCTTGTACCTGTGAATTAAAAATCCAGATATTAAAACCCAAACTTTATCCTCTTCAATTTCTTATTTCTGCCCACTCGCAGCTAGAAGGGTCTTTGCTACTAGGTAGAGCCAAGCTGCCTTTGGTACCTACAACCTGGGCTACCCTCTATGGAATGTATATAGGTCCTCAAGGGTACATACGAAATGCATCTCTAGTATGTCCTTTGTTTAAAGGCTCCAAGATTTACGAGATCTCAAAGGATAATCACAGCACTGGCCTCCAACCCACCAAATTTAGAAAACAACTCAATCTTGTCATCACAAGTAGAATTATGTGTCCAGAGGCTAGAGTTAGTGTCACAAAGACCCTAGTAGAGATTCAGTGGTACTGGATGAAAGAAGGTAAGACCAAGAAAATATCTTTGGTTAACCTCTTTGTGATGCCAGTGAGTCCAGGCTAATTATCTGAAGTCTACAATCTCTGACTTTACACTGAATCAGAATCAATCTCCCATTTGGCAGTTATTTTTGACACCATGCAGCTACATATGGGGTAGGGGTGTGGCTGGTGCTGGGGATATGCATATAGCCTTCTTTTCTAAGATAGCATTTAGACATTACAATCTTCTTGCAAAGTAAGATATTTGTGTTGGTGGCAGCCCAAATGACCCTGCTTTGTTTTATGTGCTCCTGCCTTTCTACTTATTCATAATCTCTAATTTTCCATTTTCTCTTTAAGCTCCATGTTTCCGTCATCCCAGTGCTGAACCAATAAGCAGGCCTCTTCATTCCTAGGCCTCAGAGGGTACGTCCATTGCTTCTTGCTATGAAATTGCTTAGAATTATGAAATCTGTCAAGGAAAGAGCTTTTCACCTAATTGTCATATTAGATTCAACTGAAGAATTACTCTTAACAGATTCCTGAACTGAATTACTGTCGATGCTTCAGAGCTTGTGTTTCCTGTGGTCTGTGGGACTCTATTCCTCTCCAATGATCAACTTGATTCTCTGTCTTTCCTTCACTTTTAAATATTCCAGGACTTGAATAGCATTTATTTCTGAGACATCTTAACTGAAGTACTAGTATGTGCCTCTAGTGTTTTATTCCCCTCTGCTGTTACCTTGCTCCTTCCAGAATGACTCAGTTAAGTTTCTAAAAATTTAACCTACTTCTTACATTGGTTACTTTCTTTTTTTTTAACATATTTTCTCTTTACCTTCTAACCCAGAAAATTGATTGTCTAGCATATTCCTCTAGGTGTTCGATGTGTAGAGGTCCACCTTAGTGAGATATATGAAATCAAGAAATTCTAAGGCTACTAAAAGCTATACTGTTCAAACAAATCTTGGCCACTTTCTCCTACTCATGTTGGCTAGTACCCCCTTGAAGATATTATTCCATCAAACCAGCATCCAGTCTGGGCCTAGACTCAGTTGATCACTGTTCTCTCTGGCTCTCCATTTTTATCTTTCACCTCTACTCTGCCTTCTCTTAGAGTGCCAATTCTATAAATTTCTCTGACACATGCCCTCAAGGCACAGGCAAATCCTGCTTGCCACCACAGTAACTATCTCCAAATCTAACCCATATAATAATTGTTTGGGTATGTTGTGCTTATCTTCCTGGTTTTTTCCCCTCTCAAATCTGTCCACATTCATTGTGACCATTTTGCATGACTACCCCAGTCTTCAAAAAATTGTTCCCCAATTGCTCTAACTGTAGATTATTCACCTACTCCTTTCACAGAAGCCTCTCAGTTTGCTCCTTTATTGCTGGGGATGGAGAGTCCAGGAACAGGTCTTTAAGTTTTTTCCTACCTCAGCCTAAAAATATTGCTTATTCTCTTTACGTTAAGGGGGGATGAATTCAGTCAGAGGTCTTATCTCTTTTTATTTGTTTTTTAATGGGCCCAGTCGCCTGCTACTGAACTAATCATAAGTAAAACATCTTTGCCTTTTCTAATACTCTCTTTATGAACGATTAGATCTGAGTACACTTCCTATTCCTTTTATGTATATCCACCCTTGTCTCCAAGAGCTCATATTGATCTTCCTATAGGTCTAGTCTCTCCACAAAGCACTCATTCCATTTCTACTATAGACTGAATGTTTGTACCCTTCCCAAATTAATGTTAAATTCCTAATACCCAATGAGATGCTATGCGGAGGTAGAGTCTTTGGGGGTTGATTAGGTCATGAGGGTGGAGCACTCAGGAATGGGATTTGTCCTTTTATAAAAGAGACCCCAGAGAGTTTCCCCTCCCTTCCACCATGTGAGGCAACAGTGAGAAGACAGCTGTGTATGAACCAGGAAGTGGGATCTCACCAGACACTCAATCTGCTGACATCTTGATCTGGGACTTCCTAGCTTCCAGAACTGTGAAAAATAAATTTCTGTTGTTTATAAGCCACCTAGTCTCTGGTATTTTGTTATAACAGCCTGAGTGGACTAAGAGAATTTCCTAAGAAAAGTTTACTCTCCCTCTAATTAGCTTGAGTTTCTTTTTTCTACCTCAGCCTAAAATTATTGCTTACTCTTTTTACCTTAAGAGTTTCTATTCCTGCGTGTGAGTTTTTTTAATAAAGTTTACAATCTTTTCATGGGAGATTTGCAATTTGGGTGTCTAAAATCTAAAGCCATAGTTAGAATTTGTATAATAAATCCAGAGCCACTTGCAGTCACATGGTAGGGCTGATTCCTGAGTCTTTGGACAAGCCATGTGAATGTTAGTTGTATCACAATTTTCTCTCTTCAGCTCAAAACAATATAAAATGGAACAAAATTTCAGACAACTGATCAAACACTGCCTACTTAGAACTAGAGTATTCTTTGCTTTGTTCACTGCTATCAGCCAAGTGCTTAGAATAATGGCTGTCACAGAGTAGATGCTCGAAATTATATATATTTTGAATGAATGAATGGGACCTAGTTTATGTAAATTGGAAATTTAGACATTTTGATGGAATTTGAGTGCTAAGAATTACACCCAATTTTAAATAAGAACCTCAGAAACTCTATTCCTGGACTCACAGAGACCATGTATATAATCCCTAGGGAGAAGGTAAGAAACAGGAGGCGTGGAGAAATATTCTGAGCCTCCCTACTTTCCCGCCCAAGAAATTCGTATAGAAAAACTGCTTCAGGAAGGAAGTCTTAGGATGTTCGTCTTGGACTAATTTGAATTAAGTATGGTAAATAAGAGGACATTAAGCAGGGGCCTATTAGCTCGATAGGTGTCCCACTGTTTCTGAGTTGCCCACCAAGAATTTGCCTGCCATGTATGTTTGCTCTTCTGGAAATACCTGTAAATTGCCCATTCTCACTTCTGAAATCTAAGATCCCACTCTCACCTTTTCTCCTTTGTTCAAAATGTCATATACACCCTATGTTGCTTCTCTATCTTTGGAATTTTCATGCTTATGTGAAATCTCCATGCCTATGTATTAAACATTTTATTTTCTTCTGTTAATCTATCTCTGTTAATTTGATCATTAGCCCAACTAGAACTTTGAAGGTAGGAGGAAAGTATTAATTTTTTTTAGCCCCAACAGTACCTCACCATCATTTACAAATTACCCAGAGATAACATATTCCCTTATTTAAAAGTGGAAACCATGATAAAACTGCCCAAAGTTTGTAAAATCGGCTATATAAATCTTGCAGCATAATTCATGATTCTGTTTGTTCTCTCAGCGGAGAGTTGAGGCATACATGCTTGATCCGGGTACTTTGGAGGAGATCAAAGGGAGGATGGCTATGAGGCAGCACAGTGAGGTGTCTCTGTGATTGCAGCTCAGCCCAGCTTCCGGGCTTGTGCTCTGTTCCTGGAATAGGGCGATAATAAAGAACAGAGCCCCTGAAAACCACAGAAAAACACCCACACCCACATCTGCTTTGGGGCCCAGAAAGAGGGTAAGCAGGAAGAGAAGGTGGCATGACAGCCATTAAGAATGGAAGTAAGGAGCAAGCATGAACATGTCTGTGTTAGGAGTGAGGGGTACGTGAGGGAAGTGGGAACCACAAGGTTGACATTGGGAGGGCAAACGAGGATGCCGGAAGCCAGGAAGATGCCCTCTGAAGCAGACACCCTAAGGCTTCTGTGAAGGATCTAAGGCCTGGGTCTTCATGTTTTGCTGGTACAAGACTGAGGTACACGTGGCTGTTTCATTAATTATAAACCAGGGAAATGTGATTACACATCTAACAGGGGACAGTGCTCATATTCCCTTATTCAAATACGGAAAATATCCTATTTTTATTCTGAGATGATCTATGAATCATATATGACAGAAATTAAGGGAAGCAACATCAGGGGGTGGAAATCTGTCACTGTATATTTTAATGACTTTGATCATCAGGCAAAAGAAAATGCTTACCTCTAAACTAAGCCAGGTGGAAAAAGAATGTGAAGATAATTTAGGTTTAGATTATCAAATGAGGAGAAAGGGTTATTAAGGTAGGAAAGAAAAAGCTTGGAGAGATGAGAAAGTGAAGTGATAC